AAAGTTGTCTTTATCCACAGGCAGTATGAATATCTAAGCAGAAAATGCAACGGAATCTACTAAAAAGCTACGAGAATAAGTGAGAACACTAGGTCGATAAAACAAATCAATTGCCTTCCTGTATGTTAGCAACACAAAGCCAGAAACTGAAAAATTTTAAAAACGGTACTATTTACACTTAAAAAAATAAAACAACAGAAATAAAGCTGACGAAAGATATAAAAATAGGTACACTCAAAACCACAAAATATTGGGAAAAGAAATTACAGAAGACACAGAAGGGGGACACATGCATGTTCTCAGGTCAGGAAACTCACCGTTGCTAGAAGTCAATCCCCTCCCCGCACTGCCCCGCGGATTCCATGCAATCCGGTGAAATCCCACTGGAGCTTTCTGTAGAAACCGTCATATTGATTTTTAAATTTACATGAGAGTACAGAGAACCTGGAATACCTACAACAACTTTGAAAAAGGATAAAGTTGGAGAACTCACACGTGACCTCAAGATTTATTTAAAGGCTACAGGAATCAAGAAGCGTGGTTTGATATAAATAAGGGAGACAGACAAACAATTGAAAAGAGAACCCGGAAACAGACCCATCCATCCATGGACAGCTAGTTTTTCATACGGGGGCCAAGGCAAGCCCGTTATCTTTTGAACAAGCAGGACTGGAACCATGGGCTGCCCTGAGTGTGGTGCTGAGGTGTCCTTTCCCTGAAGAGCTGTGTGAACGGGGCCGCAGGCCTTGCCCTTCCGGACGTGGGACAAGTGCAGGCAGGACTTCCCCTCCCCGAGAACCAAACTGGGCACTTCCTCGGAGGCCACCCTGCCACCCAATGTTTCTGGGCCACTGCTGGTAAGTGGGCAAGGCCACGGTCAAGCAAGAGGAGGTTTTGCTGCACCTGAGCACGCACCTGAAGAGTGGTTATGCTCAGCAGGTTCGTAAAAGGAGGTGTGTTGTCATGTGGGGAGTCACGGGAAGTGGGGGAGGTCTGGTCAACAGCGGGATGGGACAGTGAGCGGCACAGAGGAGGTAGTCAAAACGCAGTCACTTCGTGGGACCTGTCTGTCCTGCCAGCCAGCTGCAGCCACCTCCGCCCCAGGCCCTGCTCCCTGGTGTCAGAACCCGGGGAGCACGTGCCCTGCATCCTGAGTGGCCTGGGAGGCAGCAGAAACTTGAAGGAGTGGCTGGATCTCTACCTGGAGCCCCTCCACTGAGGTGACCTTGGGAAGGGGGCAGCCCGCCCGGCCCCCTGCACAGGAGGGCTGCCTCCTCCCGACCAGGACCACCAAGGGAGCTGGGAGCTCTCCTGGCCGTGGCCCCACACTCCCCAGAACCAGCTTCTGCTCCACAGCCAGTGAATGAGATCAAACTGAGCCCAACAAGCTTCACTCCCTCTAAACACACAGAAGACCCAGAGGCCCCTGAACACAAAACAAGAAGAGGGTCGGAGCCCTGGCGAGGAACAGCCTGGACTTCATGCCTCCTGCCCGAGTGGGGGGCTTCAGCTACAGTTATTAAAGCAACACACCCTTTCTGTTTATAACATATTTCAGAGAGAGCTAAGGAGTAAAGTAAAACAAGTCCTTTCCTTCCCACACCCGGCGCACTCCCTAAGAATCCCAACATAGTTTCTAATGTACCTCCATAGAAATCTATCCACGTGTATTCCGTCGAATGAATGATTCACTTAATAACTAATGTTCAAAGCACATCTTAGTTGCACTGAATTTGGAAGTGGAAAAACTAAAGCAACTAAAAATTATAAAAGTGGACGCCCGATCCTCCCAGGGTGCAGCTTTTGGGATGACCACCAGGTGGCAGAGTTACTGATAGTATTCCCCAAATTACAACTGGAAAGTTACAGGAAGGGAAAAGTACCCGGCTGGAAATGGGATGGCCAGATGACTCCCTAAACAGGATTATTTGGGCCTTGGGCCCAATATTTTGTCCCCTTAGAGGTGCAGGGAGGCAATCAGGGGAGCTGCAGAAAGAAGAGGTTACACTCTCAGACCACAGCTTCCCATTCAGTTGGGACCCCTCTGATCCTCAGAGCAGCTCTGTGGAGAGCGGAGGGCTTTCACGTGGGAAACAGAGAAATGGCTGGGCAGCTTGGCCTCCCGCGGCTGCGAGGCTCCTTTTGGAAGCCAGAGCCATCCCTCCTCCTCGAGGTGGGCAGACTATACGAGAGGAGGACACACCCAAGGGGAGGGTCCAGCCCTGGCCATCCTTGTTTGTTAAAGGGAAACCCAGGTCAGTAGGAGGAGCCCTTCCTAATTAACCTTTAACTTCAGAGTCTCTAGTCACTTCCCGTTTGAGTTCCTCACACACACTTCCTCTACCAGGCCGGACCTGGCTGCTGCCGAAAGTAGCTGACCCAGAAAACATTCGCCCTCCAGGCTTGGGAGCCCTCCAGGCTTGGGAGCCGGGGTGGGGCAGACCGTGGTGGTCCAGGGTCAGCTGCGCTGCTCTTCCTCAGGGGCTGCGCGGGGGTGGCCTTGCTGGCACCGTGCACGGGGCTCTCCCAAGGCTGACATCTGCCTGGGATTCGGAGATGCCCATGGCAAGCCTTGTCCGAAGTCTGCTTGGATCCCCAGGATGGGGCCAGGCAGAAAGGGGGCGTTGAAGCAGTTACAACACAGCATTGTGCAAGGAGGGGCAATGACCTTGGCTCCAGAAGGAGCAAACCTCTTCCCTGGCAGGGCACAGTGGAAGTGTCAGAAAGAAAGGAGAATCCTTGCTACGAGTCCCAGTTGGCATTTGTAGAGGCCGTTAACTTTTATTTTTTTTAATCCTCACCCGAAGGCATTGTTTTCATTGCTTTTAGAGAGAGAGGAAGGGGGAGAGAGAAGTATGATTCTCTGCCCCTGCACGTGCCTGAACTGGGAATCAAACCCTCAACCCAGGTATGTGCCCTGACTGGGAATTGAACCTGCAAACTTTTGGCTACGGGATCACCCTCCAATCAACTGAGTCATTCAGCCAAGGCTAGGCCAGCGATTTTCAACTGGTGCACTGCGGCTGGCACAGTGGTGTGCTGTTCAAATTTTTAAAATGTGCAATATCTATTTAGTCAGGGGCACTGACCTCTTTTCTCTTAGATTATCAAATAAACAAATGGCAACAGCCAACATGACCATCCCGTGTGAATGAATCAAAATTATACCTATTTTTTTTGTCAGGCCGGCAAAAAGCATATTCTTCTGGTGTGCCACAGAGTTTCAATAATGAGCTATATAGGCCATGAGAAGAGAAAGGCTGAGAATCGCTGGTCTAGCCTGTTCCTGAGACCACGCCCCACTTCTGGCCGGGCCGGCGGAGGGTCCCAGACCCGTGGCATACTGTGGCTCTTCATGGCAGGAACCTGACTGTACCGGCCACACGGAGCCCGGGGAAGGCGCTGGGAGGTGGTATGAGGAAAGAGGGGAGGTGGGAGAAGAGTTCCACGTTCCATGGACAGTGTTATTGATATTTAAACACTAGTCTGGTCTTGCAGTGTTCATCAGTTCTGACGGGCAGATTGAGGTGACCTTTGTATGTGATTTGAACGACCTCACCTGCTAAACTGGTACATCCTACCTAGGCCACGTGAGGCAACAGTAATTACTTAAGTCACTATATACCTTACGTGCCATGAACCCAATGTAAAATGACACACCTGTGGTGCCACGCACACAGTAAAAATGCCAGTTGTCATTAAAACGTAGGTAGTGCTCGTTTTCCAATATGACCACGTATTACATTTGATGTTTCAAACATAATGTGCGAGCCAAATGATTCATTTAAAAATAAAGGGGAATAAAACAGTGTTTATATTGGGAGCCACACTAATTGACCATGATGGGCATAATAACTGTTGCTCTGATGTGGCCAACTTTGGTACGAAGGCTGGGATTTTTTCCCCCATTATCCTATTACTGGTGATGTAAGCGCTGTGGAACACAAGGAATCTCTCATAACGCCAACCATACGCTACGCCCAATTGTTTCCACGGGAATGCTGACCCCGAGGTGGGTCGGGCTGAGCCGAGGGTGGCAGCCCGCGAGCTCCGCCCCAACCTGCCCTGGTTCATCCACCTCTGGGAGGTCAGGGTGGTGACGGGTCTCCCTTCAGGGCACCGAGGTCACTGTTTGGTGACTCCGGTAAAATCCTGGACTCGCTAGGTTCTGAGTAAGTCAAAGAGCTTCCCAAACCCCTGAGAAGTCTTCCCATCCCTCATGACATCCTACTTCACTGGGCCACTCAGGTGACAACGGTTTCCCAAGTCCAGAACACAATTCACCAGTCAAGCTGTATCTTTTTTTTTTTTCTTTTCTCTTTTTTTTTAAAGATTTCATTTCATTACTTTTTAGAGAGAGGGGAAGGGAAGGAGAAAGAGAGGGAGAAGTGTGTGCCTGCCCCCCACATACCCCCAACTGGGGACCTGGCCTGCAACCCAGGCGTGTGCCCTAACTGGGAATTGAACCCGTGATCCTTTGGTTTACAGGCCTGCGCTCGATACACTGAGCTACAGGAGCCTGGGCAGTCAAGCTGTATCTTGAGATTCCCCAGGCTTCGAGAGCATCTAGAAAAGGAACAACCAATGAGGTGGCAGGGATAAGAAGGAAGAGGATTCAGCCCTCCCCCACCCCACCCCGCACACCCGAAATCTAATACCTGCTGGCCACCAGCCCTCCCCAGTTTAATCACGCTTGTGTAGGTGAGTCAGAGAGGAGGTGGGTGGTGACCTGTGGTTTTGCCGAGTGTCTGGTGTCCTCACGACAACGCCTCCTCCCTCTTCCTCCCCCTTCCAGGGACTCTGCCTTCAGAGTCCTCCTTCCTCGTCAGCACCCGAGGCTGTTCCCCTTCCAAAACGCGAGCTAAGGAAATCACGGATGTGGACACACTAACATAAGAGACTTCCTGAGTGAGATGTGACTCTGTGCACAGAGCAAGGCCACGCTGACACCCAGAGGTCACGGACCACGGTCACCCCTCCGGTCAGGGCAGCTTCCTTACCCGTAGCCAAGCAGCTTCTGAGGCCGTGACAAATCTCTGTACCTGTCGAAACCCCGGAGGAGGCATTCCTCACCGGGTCCCCAGCCCGAGCGTCAGCGACAGACACCAGGAAGATAAAGACTGACAGGAACCTGCAGAACCAGGAGAGGGCTGCTTGTCCTGATCCTGGACGGTCTCTGACGCTTGGATAATGTTCATCACGATACACTGGGTCACTGCTCAGCCTTTACAGAGCCTCCTGGCTTCGCCAAAGAAGTATTCGTTGGCAGAGTTGAAATATTAGAAATATTAGTTGGGTAGCTAGAAGCAGAGACCAGAAAAAAATCACAAATAGAAATGAGCTTGTAAGTAGTACTATTCACAATATTGGGTAGATAAGCATGACATCTTTTATTTAAGAAGCCACAAGTGTAGTATATTTGGGGTGTTGCTTATTTGCAACGTATTTCCTAGAAGAATGTAGTACGTTTCCTTTCAGCAACTTCGCTGTTTAGCCAATGGCCAAGGAAACTCAGTTCAGCTCTGCTGCCATGACGACACACAGGGTGCAATAGGACGGTTCCGAACAATCCTGCCGAATGTCAGTGCGAAGAGTTCTTGATGCACAATCCTTGGGACAACCTGGCTTGGTGTCTAAACAAACAGATTTCACTTTTAATAGCTCTAAATGGGGCAAAGGGAGAAGGGGGCCCATGCCCTGCCTTGTTCCACTCTTCTTCTCTGCTCCGTGCTATGACAATCTTCTCTCAACTCATATCAATGCTGTAACACAACCTCACAGTGAAAAGGTGTATCCAAGTTCTTCTTTCTTTAAAAAAATATTTATTTCCAGAGAGAGGGCAAAGAGAGGGAGAGAAACGTTGATGTGTGGTTTCCTCTCATACACCCTCAACAGGGAACCTGGCCTACAACCCAGCATGTGTCCTGACTGGGAATCAAACCATCAACCCCTTGGCTTGCAGGCCAGCACTCAATCCACTGAGCTGCAACAGCCAGGGCCAAGTTCTTCTGATTATGGTTTCAGAGTTTGTGACAAGAGCTGCAACTTCCAATGCCTTTCAGCTACCAAATAGATTTGTTTCCTAATGTCATCTTGAGCTGTATTCTTTTAGCCCTGAAACACCAGCTTTTTGGCTTACTTTACTCTTAATTCTACTATCAGAAATACAACTGCACAAGTGTGAGCATAAATGGCAAGCTGACAGTCAACCTCAGTGTTTGGGAGGCAATAGGGAGTAGTGGAGACTGTGGTGAACTGGAGAGCACATACCCTCAGTAAGAAGTAGGAGCCACTGTTAGCACCAACAGGTGGTCTTGCAGAGTATGGACCCAAGTCTTTCTACAGAAACCACAGATCCACATTCTTCTGTATAATTTCCCCATATTTATATATGAACTATTTACTAGCTTAAAAAATGTCACCAGCTTGCCAGTTTGCTGCCTCCCTTCAATGGCCAGTGGTGGCAGGACTGGGCATAGAGCTAACCTGGAAGTCAGGAACCCAGGAATTCTAGACCTAGTTCCGACACCAACCCTCTCTGCCACTGGGCCTCGGTTACCTGGTCTGAAAAGTTTGGACATGCCAAACTCCATCTAATCCTAAATTATTATACTGCATAAATAAGCTTTTTAGAGGGTCAAATCCCACAAGCATAACCAGAAACATTAAAAGGAAAACAACAACACTTGTGCCACAGCAGGGTTCATCACACTGTCCAGACATGGCCTTGGCGTGGCCGAGCCAGCTGGCCGACACAGGCTTGAGAACATGAACACTGTCACCTGGCCTGATCTCTCCGTGACAGCCACCCGCCCACCACAGAACATAAAAATCGCGTCTCTCCTGTACACCCCGACTTCGGCAGGAATCCCCCTCTAGGAGACAGAGCTCTCCTGGGCATGTTGAACCCCACCCGAGGCTTCCAGGGAAGACTGCGAGTCAGAAGGCAAAGCTGGCCGTCAGGCTGCCCTGAGCCGTGACTCTCGCTGTTCCAGTTCGGGCTCGGCCTCTGCAACGAGATCTGGAGTTGCCACATCGTGGCCTTCTGCGTGAGCCAACTGTACTCGGAACAGCTCTCGTTACGTAACCCCGGCCGTGGCCCACGTGTGTTCACGGGCACACAGCTCGCCCTGTGCAAAGGCACACACCACATTTCAGATATAGCACCATTTCCCCCCCGCCACCGGGGACACGGGAAGGGAATAAAAAATATTCAGTGGGAAAATGATGAAAGATGGGTAAATTAGAGGCTTTTTCCCTGCTGTGAAGGTTAAAAATAGGCACATTTCAGGGCAAGTCAAAGGATTCACATTCTTGTGGTTGGGACTGTGTGGCTTGGGCAAACTGAAGGCCCGGGAACAGAGAGCCCGGTGAGTGACGACGGCGGCCTCCCCCACAGCAGCGCATCTGACACAGGCAGCTCGGCCCCAGGTGGAGTGGGAGGGGGATTCGGCACCTACGCGTCCGACTGCTTTTGTGCCTCAGTCGTGAACAACGGGGCCTTTTCATTTTGCCACTGGCAGCTGCCAGTAAGTATCCAGTATGTTTTAAAGGATGAGTTGCCTTTGACTCCAAAGCTATGATCTATCGCTTTGGTTCTGTCTCTCTTAGAGGCATTTTCTTCACTGTGCCCTGGCTTTGGGTAACCAGTGTTTGTTCTGAATCAGCTGGTTCTTACCCTAAGGCTTCTGTAATCTCTTCCTCTTTGTGTGCATTGCCTTGTTGATTTTAGAGTCAGAGGGAGGGAGGGAAACATCGGGTTGTTGTTCCACTTATTTATGCATTCACTGGTTGATTCTTGTATGTGCCTTGGCTGGGGGATCAAACCTGCAACCATGGTGCCGTATCGGGACGATGCTCCAACCCAGTGAGCTGCCCAGCCAGGGCCTGTGAACCCATCCTTCTGCCTGGAACGTTCTTTACTCTGACCTTCACGAGAGCAGCTCCCTCAGATCCCAGCCCCTCATGGGGGCCTCTCTGGCCATCCAGCAAAAATTTCCCCTGCATTCCAAGTACTTCAGTGCTTGCCTAGCATTCACACCACCTAACACAGCTCCTGTTTCTTTCTTCCCTTGTTGCCCATCTTCTCTCACTAGTACACAAGCTCAGTGGAAATAAGAATTTGGTGTCTTGTTTGCTGCATATTTCCAGCAGCTAGAACAGTGCCTCGAATGTGGCGAATACAGTGTTAGTTGAGAGAGTGGACGGACGGGTGGACGGATGGGTGGACGGACGGAAGAACGCACCCCGCAAATGCTGTGAGGTGCCCGTGGGGCCCTCGGGCAACAGGAAGGACTAAGAGCCTCCCTGAAGGATGCCACGGTCTACCAAAGAAGACAGACGTTCCTGCGGCACAGTACAGAAGGACAAGGGCTTTCTAGGAGTAGACCAAGCCCTCTGCCCACGATGAGTATGAGGACATTCTCTACAGAAAGGTTAAGAGTTGGCCAAAGGGCAAAGGTGAGAACTGGGGTGACAGGGGAGGCATGCTGCCGAGAAACATCGCGACGAATGTGCCAAGTCTGAGAACGGACCGCGGGTCCAAGAGCCACAGGGGAAGGAGCGAGGGGCCCAAGGACTTGGAAGAGGCGCGGGGTTAAGGAGCCTCCTGCACCAGCCTCTGGACATTAGGTGTGAGTAACACCTAAGCAACTCCCCTAAGCAACGGGAGCTATTAAGATCATTTTAAGTAGGAAAGTGACAGGATGACTTTTTGTTAGAAAGACAGCTTTGGCGTCAGTGAAGGCGGCTAATTAGAGAGAAGAACAAAGCACCCGGGAGGCTGTTGTCCAATCCAAGTGGAAAAGATGTCGAGGACCCCAACTATTAGTGGCCACAGAGAAAGAAAAGACTATTGAAAAGCTATGAAAAAGGTAGAATCTACAGAGCACAGTGACACACAAAGTACAGGTGGTGAGAGAAAGGAAGGACTTAAATCCCAGGTTGTGGCTTTTGTTACCGGAACTGGCGGTTCTCGTGGTTTAGGCTCGTGGAGCCCTAAATGCATTTTGTCTGAGTCTGCCTGCTTGCACGGGCCCATGGACACTTGCCCGAATGGCGGTCTACGGTCCTGGCCCAAACGGTGGTTTACCTGCTGAATGAGGGCACCTGTGTAGAAGTCCCGCTGACACATGAGCATCGAGTCCACAGCACAGGGGGGTTCCCGTTCACAAAGGCGCACGGGCTATTATTTCAATGCCCGACCATTTTTGGAGGCACACGCTGATCCATGGCCGCAGAAGCATGACTATTGGTCTAAATATAGATGTGCCTGTCACCTCGGAGACAGAACAGACCAGAAGTCATGATTCCACTTACTCCAAGGAAACTTTAAGGTGTTACAACTGAAAAACAAATCGATGTAACAGTTCTTCAGTCTGTAAATCTGATTGAAAGAGCAAATTCTGATCACCTTACCTGTTTCTCTTCCCTTGATCTTAACTGCTCATTTAGACCCCAGACCCCTCTAAGCAGCCTGCACCCCAACCCTGAGATATTTCTCAGTCTACAAGGGTATCTCACAGGTACTCAAAAGCAAGTACAGAGCCGCCCATCTGGCCAGACGCCCTGCGGGTCTCCCCACTTTATTTCGTTTCTCCTACTCTAGCCCCCATCTGCTGCTACCACCTAAGTGGCTACAAAATGGTAAGAGCATGGGCTCCGGGACCAGCCTGCTTGGGTTTGAATCCTGGATGTGCCATCTGTAAGCTGTGTGACCTGGGGCAAGTTACTGAGCCTCTCTGTGTCTTGGTCTCTGCACTTGTTAAGTAAGAATATTATCTAACCTTCTTCATAAGCTGTGATGATTAAATACGTTAAAATTTATCAAGTACTAAGAATAGTGCTGAGCACAGAGCAAGCACTCAGTTAATGCAGGCTATGATTCCTACTAGCACTGGGGGCACCAGGAAAGTGTCCAGAGCCCGAAGGGAGAGTTTACATCTGATCCTTTGAAAGAATGAAGGACCGGCCGTAGTGTTAAATAAGGTGCAAGTGGAAGCAAGTATAAACTATAAAAATATGCTACATTCAAGACTGAAGGACAGATCTAATAGGAACTTTGCTCTTTGATGACGAAGTACCTGTCAAGCCTTAACATTAGAACAGAGAGAAGAAAATAAAATTTTAAAACATCATACTATTTACATTAGCATCAACAACACCCAACATATAGAATCTAAAAAGGGGGGTGTCAGGCCTCCCAGAAAAACCAACAAGCATCACCAAGAAAAATGAAAGAAGACCTATGTCCACGGAGAGATACATATTCCGAGACACAAAGGTTCACTGTCATAAATCT